CCCCCCCCCCCCCCCCCCCCCCCCCCCCCCCCCCCCCCCCCCCCCCCCCCCCCCCCCCCCCCCCCCCCCCCCCCCCCCCCCCCCCCCCCCCCCCCCCCCCCCGGGGGGGTTTAGTGTAAAGATCGATCAAGGAAATTATTTTTGTTCGAACAGATCTTTCGAAGAAAAACGGGGTTTTTGAGCTCTCGAGTCCGCAGCTAGTAGTATGGAATTGTTATTTCAAAGAAGATTCAATGCGACATGTGCAGTGAGAATGGAAGACTCGTTCTGTTATTGCTAGCCGACTTTCGATGGTATCATAAAGCTGTATTCAAGATGAACAACGAGCAGATATACTAGAGCATAATCTGAACAGAGATCAAAGCGGAGTCTAATTGTTATATTAAACGACAAAAAAAGTTTTGTTTTTAATTAACGATGCTTTCTAAAAATTTAACTGAAATTTAAAATTAGTGATGAAGAAGGTTTCTTTAGGCGTTCTTTTTCGTACCCACACCACCAATCCAATCGCGCATATTGCCAATGCAACCAACTTCCACAAGCGTGGGATGATAGTTCTTAATGGTAACTTTTGGTTTTGTTTTACCATGTTTAGTGTACCAATATACGGCACCCATTTTAGGGCTTGGAATTGGATCAAGTTTGTCTAAACCCAAGTAGTCGCCAGTTTTCTTATCGGTGTACATGATAATGGGGAAGATACCAGCAGCATCAATTGCATTACCAATCCATACTTTTACAGCCACTGGTTTCATTCTGGCAATGCCCCATTTCTTTGTGATCACCCATTCACCAACATAGTCTAAGAAGCGAGAGTCGTAATTATAGACTTCACATTGATAATCACAAGTTGCTGACCATGTACATGTTTTTGAACCAGCATCATACATAAAGAATCCGGTGCCATTGAAATAATAGGAAGTGTTACCTGCACTAACAATAAGCAGCTGATTTGCATCATCCATGATCCATGTAGAAGTTGTTACCAAGTGTGAACCTTTGACTGCAAAGATACCGTGTCCGTAATTACTTGGTAATGGATGAGGTAATTTATGAGCATTTGGATTCTTATTTGGACATTTGTTGCTCTTTTTACCTGCACAGATTTTAAAATGTCCAGTATTTTTGATTTTAATTCCAGAAGTAAACTTATGGCGAGCTGTACCGAATGGTGGCTTATTGTTCTTCAGACCTTGTGTAGCGGGGAAAGGAGCACCAGAGAGTATAATATCCATTGCATATAATTTATTATTCAAAGCATTGACGTGCAACACGGCCAGCTGTGTATGTGGTTTAGTTTTGCAACCAGGGCCTACACCATTGTAGCCAGCTGGGGGACAGTGGTAATTCAAATCATGATCACCAATCTTGCCCAGAACAGTCAATGCACCAATTTGCGCATAATATGTTTCTTTTGTATCAGGATCCATGTATGTAGTGTAATGTGTAGTCAAAGTTTTGATCTGAGTCCAATCAAAGGTAAAGCAATTATGAGAAGCATCACCATTTGTATTCGAATTCAAAATGACTTCAACACAGGACGATGGAATTCGTTGCATATAGAAAAGACCATCATATGTTGATTTTTTCTTTGTACATGGGAAAGATTGGCAAGCGAGTGTTTCAAGTTGAGCATGAGGATCAGATACAGCTGCCAAAAGAAGAGATGGGACACGTGCGTGATTGAGAAGATAGAAAGACTTTAAAGCAAACTAACCTGTATGTTTCGTGAGAAGAAGAGCTGTGACTACAAATGCAGTTAGAATGTTTGTCACAGGAGACATGTTTGCTTTATTGCGATGTGACGAGGACTAACCACCGCTGAATAAGTGAAGATGCCTCTGTTTTTTCAGAGATAAAAAACGCACTCAGCCATGACTCTCTTTATTGCCTACTGAGACAGAGTCATTCGCATATACAAGATTCAACCAACAAGCGTCTTTCTTTCGTATTTTTTCAACGACGAGGACAATGATCGAATTATCGCAGCCGAATTAAGGGCCTTTTCGTCGTTCTCTTCTTCTTTCTTCCAACCTTTTGTATAATTAAAGAAATGATGATTTGACGATGAAATTTTTCTCATCGTTTATCCGGAAGGTTTTTGTGAAACCTCCAAAAACGGGTTTTCTTTACACGTGCGACTTAAAATAGGAATTCTCATTTTAGAAACACTTCTGGAATGCAACGAAATGTCCACATCGAGGAGCATTCAATTAGCTCGAATACGCTACTTTTCAACAGCACTGATTAAACATTCATCTTCTATGGTAATGTATTGTTGGCTTTTTCTATTGTCGAAAAAAGTACTAAACCACATCGATCGTTTCGCCATAATAATAACTCTTGAAGTAAAGGGAAAGAGATAGTTAGCAACGCAGACGGTTGAAATCAATGAAGGTGCTAATTCATAGTCTCGCTCAAGCAGTAATCAAATATTAGCGTACAGTAAGCACAGGACAGAACATCGTATTCATATTCAGTGAATGTCCATCGTCCAATAAAAATCAACCGAACCTGAGTTTCCAAGAGCAATAATTAAATTCCATTCAGTTGGATGCAATTTAAGAATGTGAAAAAACTCATTAGATCTATTGTACATGCAATACATTGTGTAGTACAATATAATTCATGAATAAAAGGAAAATGTTTCATAAGATTAACGGGATAAATATAGAAACCATAAGAGAGTATATGTACAACACAAAGGGTATAGGATATAGGCAACGATGCATCAACTTTAAATAGGTCAAAAAAACCGTTGCGCGGTGCCAAGAACGTGGAACGCCGATGCTTGGGATGCGGAATGGCTAAGCAGATGATCGCATATGAATATTTGATGAATATTTGTCTTGACAGATTGATCGATAAACCATGAAGATTGGTGCGCATCTGTTTCAAAGAACATTTGTGTTTTTGTTTGATAACGAGACTTATGTAACTTATCTACCTGTACTTTTTCCAGTTGGAATCTCTGTGGTTGAGATACTTTAGCAGGAGATTCCATTTTTTGATGCATTGTTGCTAAACCGCAATCAGTACAGTCATAAGTTTAGAATAAATAAAATCAATAAGAATAACTGGCAGAACTTTTCCATTATTTCTACTTATTTGGTAAGTTCCATTAGAATAGATTACAGTCGATGATTCGTCAGTCACAACATGGAGTGACGGAAACGGAGATCATCCGGACGATCTCCGTTTGCGTAACCACTACCAAGACATATTTAAAACGTGTTACAACATACCAGTTACGACAACCAGTGAAAAAACCACCAGTATGAAAAGCAATAATTTCTCTGTGCTCTAACACGTTTGTAAATTGGTTTAATAGACATGAGAAGTCGTTCTGATTCAATATCACCAAATTGTACGTACTTTGGAAAAAAGCACTTTGGAAAAGAATGTCAAGAGACAAAAACGTTCAAGACACGTTCCTCTACCTGCTCTGAAAATTTTACTTTAATTAATTTAAAATTTTATTTTTAATTAAACAAAGTTCATTGCGGAACTTTGTCCGTCCCTATCGTGCACTGCCTCTCTAACTAATTTTGTAAGGGAATTTTCATCTCTGGAACCGGTTATCGCGTACCTGACCGTGACGCCATCTGTATATACCATAGCGTACACACGCGACATCATTCGCTAGCCAATTATTATTTGAGATTCTCCTTGGATCCTTATTTACAGCAAAATCATCCTTTTTATCGTTGATATTTTCATCCTTTTTGCTTTTGGTATTTACGTCCTTTTTAAAAATTGGTATTTACAGCTAAAAGTATTTTATCAGGTTGTCTACCATCCTGTCCTAAAATTATGCTATTATGTACGGTGAAGGTATTTGCTTTTATCAAAAAATGTAATACTGTTATATCAAAATTTAGATGGATCGTGATGTTCTGAAAAACGCTTTTGCTTCTTACTGAATTTGCAGAACTGTCAACGAGTCAGTGTTTGAAAGTCACAATGACACATCAATGCACTTTACCTAGACGTTTTAACTTGTTAATTTTTCAACAGTTATATATATTTCATAGCTTGGAAACGTTTCTTATTCAGATAAAACATCTGATCGATTAATGCGACTCGGCCAATCATAGCTGTTTTCCCATTTCATCGGTAATTGCATTATCTTTTCGCAATATCTCCTTACGTCATATACGCAAACGATTAACTAATCGGCGAGTTTTGTTGTGTAACATTTTACTTTATCTATTAAAAATATTTAAAATTCTAATCAACAATTAGCAATTATCGGATAAAGATGACAGCGGCAACAAAAAAAGATAACAACATTAATGAGGAAAGTAATAAACCTTCGACTAGTAATGTTCAGAATGATGAACAACAACCATGTGCAACTAGTAGTACAAATAATCAGTTAAGCGCAAACAACTGTACCACTAATGCTAGTGACACTCGATATAGTGGTAAGTGTTCAATCGTTTGTCATTTATGTAGCCTGTAGGCAACAATTCTAACGTTTATGTTTATTGGCATCCATAGCTCCTAAGATACATCCTGAACGTTTAACCCATATTATAACAGATACATCATCTTGTAAACTTTATGTTAGCTGATTCTTATAGAAGATGATTTTCATGTTATATTCTAGGGGCATCATAGTAAATGGTATACCATGAATTTATCTTTCTAGGACGTTTGTTAGATTTACCTCTCTAGAAAGTTTACGAAGTAAAGTGATACTATAACGCACAACTGATTCTTATAAAACCAGTTAAACTAACGAAATTTGTGTTTTTTTCTTGTAGAAACAGTAGAATTTCTTGTTTTCTCACAAATATTGAAAAAATCTTAGAAGATTTTTTCCCTAACCACCCAACACTCTTCAAAGGATCATGTCGGCTTTGATGCCCCCCTTGAACCAGGAAATCAAATAGGCAGTTTATAGAACAGCTCGTGCCACATCGAATGGTATATAAGAAGTCCCATTTTTATCTAAGCTTATATGGTCTAGGGTCAATATACTGGTCGAGCATCATGATAGCCATTAAGATCGATGCCGAACTTACTGCCACCCAGAGAAACCAAAACGGCATATTCTCTCTATACACTTTTGTAGATCTCGCCTTGGGCTACAAGCCGCTAAATGCAAAAACCAACGGATTTCAGAAATATAATTTCGCATTTTAAATCATCAGGAATGGTAGCCCATCTGAAATTGTATTTCTCCACAAATATTCATGCGGAAAACGTTTTGTTTGATCGAATACGAAACACAATAGTGGAAGGCATCCAGATGCTATCGTGCTTTTTCATGATTTGACATCGGTTTATCTTCTCACTTGAGAGGTATAGGAGGGTGAAAATCCCAGGAGAGATACAATTTCAGATGGGCTACAATTCCTGATGGTTAAAAGTGCGAAATTATATTTCTCAAATCCGCTAGTTTTGGAAGGGGTCTCTAGAAAACCTATTATACTTGGATTTATTATTTTGATATTTTGAAGGGGGTACCAGTAGAAGGAACATCCAAAAATATGTCTGTGTCGAAGTTTTGAGTGTCATCAGATAATGTTTAGAGGAGATATGAGTATTGGGCTTCTCATATTCTTCCTAATATTTAATTTATATTGTATGATTATTTTATTATATTATAAAAAGAAATATAAGTAAATGTTTTTATTTTGGTTAATAGCGTGCCAGCATCCGCGGTTATACGAATAATATTATTAATTTATGTATTTATATTTATTATTGAATTTTAGGTGAAATTTAGTTTTTTTAATTATTTATTATTATTCATAAGTTCATGGTGACTCCTAACCAAAGAGCCGATTTTGGCACCTATAATTACTTAAAACTAAAATTCAAATAGTGCATTGTGCAGCCACAGATAAGTTCTACAAAACTGTGTATTCAGATTGGTAAAAGAAGCGAACTTCCTCATTGCGGCAATTTTTACACAAATGTGCCATTTTTGGGGATTTATTATTTTTTTCAATGCAAAAATCAATTTAAATCAATTTTTTTTGAAAAGAAATCTATTTAAATTCATTTTTAAAAAAGTTCATTTAAATTCATTCTGCGTAACTTTTCGTGCGAAAAATCTATTTAAATCAATTTCTGTCTCAATGAATCTCGTTTTGGTTTTTGCAAAAATCTGTTTAAATGCATTTTATTTTGATTTAGAGAAAAAAGAAATTTAAATTAACCTTTTACAAAAACTAAAACAAGATTCATTGAGACAAATGGATTTTTAAATAGATTTTTCGCACGAAAAGTTATGCAGAATGAATTTAAATGAACTTGTTTAAAAATTAATTTAAACAGTCTTTTCACGCAGAATGAAACCAAATAGATTTACTGGTCCAACATGCGTAAATCTATTTCAAACTGTGAATACATTTAAATTTCTTTAGAAACAAAAATCTACTTAAATTGGTTTCAAAAACGAAAAAAATGTATTTAG